TTTGTAAAAGCAGTTTGCATTGAACTCAGATTTATTTCAAAAACACATGGGAGATATATTCTGATAATTTAATTAAGGATTGTTTTGTTACTCAGTACCTTTAAATGGATGACTGGAATATGTATGTACAGTCAGCAGTACAGGGGACAGTAGTGGGAAGAAAAGATATTACAGACCTCTAATACTTCTAAAAAGAACAATTTCTGTGGGATGTTGATTTTTACTTTTTTTTTTTTTTTTTTTCTTATGAGCTGTATTAGTTTATGAACTTTGGTTGAGATTTTAGTCCAGAACCACTGCAGTCAAGGAAGATTTTCCTTAAGAGCTGTCTTCTGCTACTGTGGCAATCAATAGCAAACTATTTTGGACTCTTCTGTGCTGTGGGGCAATGGAAGAAGGAATGAAGGAGAAACTGGTTTATTCTTTTCTGACTAAAAGCCAAACATCCTTCAGCCCACATGTTGTCACTGCTGGCCTTGACAAAGAGCTGCTGGCTGAGGATGGCCTTGCTGAGTTCCATTCTAAAATGGGTGAAAGTTAACGGTCAGTGTTTGCGCAGGACAAACACTGGACTGGGTCACCTCTTTCAGCCTTCAGCTGATTAACCTGTGAGTATGCCATGCAGTGGATTGCTCTTCAGGAGAGGCTCAAAGATTTATAACTTTGTTGGGGTGACCAGTTTGGCTCTAGGCTGCTGGCCTGAGCAGGCACTGTTCCCTCTGATACTGTAGGTACACAGATGAGGTTCTACATATATGGGCAGCATATATGTTCATGGGACTGCTGTCACCAGCACGTGCCTAGTGATGATAGGGGCCAGGAAAAGGTGTGGAGCCAGCTTGTCCAGGAGCTGAGGCTGGCTGGAGTGGCACAGTATGTTATTTGCAGTGCCTCCTACTGAAAGCCCTTTCACAGATAGAACCGTCTTGTTCTTCAGTGATGCATATCATCTGTCTTAGCTATCAACAAGGGTGAAAACTCAGTTTTCCTAACATGCCACGGGAATATACATTTAATATATAGCCCTTAGTATGGGAGAGACATAGACCTGTTGGAGTGCATCCAGGAGAGGGCTGCAAAAAATGATGTGAGGGATGGAACGCCTCCCCTGTGAGGACGGGCTGAGAGTGCTGGGGCTGTTCAGCCTGGAAATTTGATAATGGCATTTCAGTATCTAAAGGGGGACTGTGAGAAAGAAGGGGATAGACTCTTCAGCAGGGTTGTTGTGATAGGACAGCAGGGAATGGTCCCAAACTAAAAGAAGGGAGATCTATATTGGATATAAGGAAGAAGCTTTCTGCAATCAGGATGGTGAGGCACTGGCATGGGTTGCCTGGGAAGGTGGTGGATTCATTGTTCCTCGAGATGCAAAAGGTCAGGCTGAATGAGGCTCTGAGCATCCTGATCTGCTGTAGGTGCAGGTCCCCTCATTGCAGGGCATTTGTACTGGGTGACCTTTAAGAGCTCCAATTAAAACAATTGTATGAATATATTCTGGATGCTTCAGTCCTGGATTGCAATTGGTGAGGCATGGGGACACCAAGAGCTGCTACCTCTGTGTGGCTTGGAGGTGCTCATAGGCCTCATCCCATTAGGGATGGGAGTGCCCCTGCAGGCAGCTGGCCAACAAGAAGGCCTACTGGAAGACAGACACAGGTATGGCTGGAGATTGGTCTACCATTGCAAATCCTCTTCACCTACCAGTGGGAGAGGGACAGGGAACTTGATGGTTTCACTCATTCTCTACTGAAGAATGAGTATGCAGGGGAACAGGATGCTTAACACTCAGTGTGAGAGATTAGCGGATCCAGAAAACCACCCATTTGCTTTCAGGGCTTCCTCTGCAATCAGCATAATTTTCTCATGAGGAGAGGATTTTGCTGTAGAACGGAAGGTTGTGGAATGGAGTGTTTACAAAGCGAAAAATAATTGCATTTATGGACTGGGAGTCTGAGACCTTTTTGGCCCTGATCACCTGTATCTGTCTGCTTTGCATACAGGAGGCAAGTTATTGGATAGTTTAAAATGTTGGGCATTTTATAATAATAATAATAACAATTTAAAGATTTTCCCAGCTGTTAAAGGATGCAGTTTTTCTTTCATAAGCCATTATGTATGCAAGACCAATTGGTAAACTGCAATATACTGTTCTGTAATTATTCTCCCCTGTAGCTTTAATGAGGAGATCTGTGCCCAGTTTGATGGAAGAATATTCTCTGCCGACAGCTACACTGAAAATCAAGACAGGTGTAATCTGCTTACTGTAGTCTGTGAATCCTCACCATGTGGCTGTGTTATCTCTAGTGCATGTTTATAGGAAGATGCTTGTAAAAGGATTTAATTTAATGGAATAATGGTAACTGACACTACGAAAATGAAGGGGCTCAAATATTATGGTGAGGAGAGTCATAAATACTAGAGTAGATGATAAAAAATGGAGATGTTATGTATTTTAGTTAATGCCATATGAAAGGAAAATACAAATTAAGCTGTGCTATCTACTAAAAGAAAATGCGTTCTTTATTACTAACATAGTCTTAGGACAGACTTCAGAGAAAATGTATCATTTTGGAGGTATGTACCCAGTCTCCCAGTTACCTGAGCCAAGGTACTTTTCTTCTGGAGCTCTGCTTTTCTATGGTTGTAATCTTAAGAGCAGAATGCCTTTAAAAATCAGGTATACTGCTGAGCCATAGCTGAAACCTATGTGATGAAAGGGTAAACTGAGACTTTGCTTAGGAACCAGAGTGGTGGGGAGGCTTCATTGGGACACCTGTACAATTCTGTCTCTATTTCCTTATGTGTACAGTGATGATACCTAAACTATTTTTAGAAAAGCATCCAAATAACTTATTCTTCTGAAACCTGTTGACAAACTGCAGTACCTTCTTGCAAGTAACATCTGCACAGTATTGCTCTTTTGGAAAGAAGGATATATTTAGGCAGGAATGTGGATCTAAATATTATTTTCAGGGGTGGGGCCATGGGTGTGATTTAATTCATTATCAGTTATTCTTAATTGCCCAATACTGACATACATCTAACACACTAGAGAGTTTAATATCTGAAAGACTACTTACCATCATTTTTTCTCAGCAGTCCATTTGTAAGTGTTGGGGAAGATGATGCAGTGTCAGTGCTTCAGTACTGTGCTCATGGTCTTGTACAACTTCTGTCCTTGAACATAGTGTGTGAATGCACTGAAGATGGCACAGTTACTAGCAAGAACAATACCAAGTTTTCTGCTCCTCAGCAAATTAATTGAAAGCATATAGAATTTGAATATCGTGTGATGTTTCTGTACTTTTAATGTTAAACTTTCTTTAGTGTTAAGGTATGTGCATCTAAATGATTATCCATACTGAGGACAGTGAAAGAACAGGATCTGACATAATGCTACTGCATCAGGCAAAATATACTTAAAAAAAAATATGGAAAAGCACTTCTGTTGGGGAAAGATGGGAGTTGAGCATTGCTGTTAATTATTCTTATTATGCTGATCTCACTCCGATTTTGAGTCTAGTGACTGCACTGACAAAGAAGCAGCCTTGATTTTTGCACATATGTTACTGTTCCTTGTAAAACTGGGCTCACAGATTGCTCTCAAGCTTTTACTGTTCCTGTAGAACGTTTCCATAGTTCCAGCAGTTTGATCACAAGCACAGCGTCTCTCCTAATGCTGTGCAGGTTGATAAAACAGTTGCCGAGCTGGAGTCCCCAAAGAAATTATTAATTATCTGGTTAATGTGCATCAGGCTGTGGGAGTGTGAGATTAATCACCAGTGCTGGGATGAGTTGCTGAAGTGGATTTTGGTTTTTCGTCTCCTGTCACTTGGTAATGGCTTTTCCTTCCTTCACCATCAGGTGAACAGGTGTGGAGATGCTGTATTTTCATTTTCCTGTAGTCAGGAACAGCCGGTGACCAGGAGATGCCTTTTTCTCAGTCCTGCTGCATGAGCAGTTTACAACATGGAGCGCTCCCTGCTTCAGATGTTCCAGCTGCAGGACATGCTCCCGTGGCACAGGACTGACCTGAGCCTTCCCAGAGAAACACTCAAACCCCTGAGCATGGGAAGGAGCCCCAGGGTTGATTCTTCTGTATTCCCCGGTTCTCCAAGGAGGTGAATTATATTTGGATGTGAAATTGCAACTTGACTCCTATTTTGAGCGTATTTATAGTATTTTGAATTTCTCAGTGAGCAAACATTCAGCATGCCTCCTTTGTTTAATGTAACAAAAGGAAAATGTGCTTCTGTGAGGTAGCTTTTGAACTTCTTTGCAGGGCAGGCACAGAAGAAGGTTCTAACGCAGCAATTACCATTCTCAAAGCCATTGTGTTGCATAAATATTCGGCTGTGGAAGAAGTTGGGCTTTTTCAGTGGTGGTTTATCAGTGAGGGCATTTGTGCAGTATTGCAGCTGTGGTCCTGTCTCTTTTGCTATTACTACCCCACAGCAGCTGCACTCAGCTTGTGCAGCAAAGCCCTGATATTCCTCCAGAGGTCCTTACTGGATAGCATGTGCTTCCGCAGCTCAGTGCACTGATGGAAAACTGAGGAGGACTTTAAATCTTACAGCTGTGATGCTATGTGGACCCTTTGAACAGGAAGCTGTGACTCTATCATAGCATCAGGACCATAGACTGGAAGCAGTGCCTGGTTTAGTGAGTATGAGTGAGGAGAGAGAGGGAGACGAGGTGGAAGGAGCTGTGTTGTATTCATCTAAAACAGTTTGCCTGAGGTCGGGGGAGCATCTCCTAGTTGAGAAAGTAAGAATCTCTGAACAACCATACAAGAGTCAGTCATCACAATAATGTGTGCTGAGGGATAGAAGCAGGGACAGAACCCTTCTCCATTTGTAAAAGGCTTTCATGCCTAGCTAAATAATACTGCCTCATTCTCAGACTATTACTAATGTAATGTTATTTGGGTTACTTCATCAGCTCCAGCGTAAGTGTTGCTTGGTCTTCATCAGCTTATGATTTCTATTCCTATTTGACAGGGCTAATGTTTTCTCTCCTTGGTAAACAGAGAATTTTTTACTTCCTTGCCACTTCAAGCAAGCGGAGCTGTTCTTATATTTGAGGTCACCAGGAACTACTCAGTCACTGAGCTCTTGTACTATCCTGAATCCCTCCACAACTAACGGAGATACCTTGGGAGAAGAGAATAAAGGTATGAGGTGATAGGAGAACTTGCCTTTCCCACCAGTTGCACGCTCCAGGCTGCAATCCCTGCTCAGACCCACAGTGACATAAATATCCACTTGTTTAGCAGCTATGGTACAACTTCACATTAAAAATGTGGATGACCTATTTGTGTTTGAAAACCCCTTGCAAGCCAGTCAGCATGGCAGCATTGGGGTTTAAAACTTAAAGTCTTCAGGGCTCCAGGTTGAGTATTTGCATCACTGTTGTTTGGGTTTCTGCTCCTTGTAGAGCTTCCTGAGCTCAGTGTGATAAGTAAAAGCACGTTTACTTTGCTAAGCTCAGCAGATCCCAGCACTGAAGAGATAACAGTGGAAAATGGGACCTCTAGGAGACAAGAAATATTTCCCCGCACTGGGAAGCAGGTCACTGTTCCTGTATGACTTTGTTAGCACCATGCATGTGTCTAACAAAAGTTGGCATGAACACACATGTACACATCCACAGTGTGGCGCAGAAGTGATGCAAGAGTAGTGTTTGTAAAACTCAGTGAATGTATGAACCATAGGGACATTAAGTCCGCAGTCTCTCTACAGTAGCTGTTGATTTTTGCTTAAAAATAAGTAAAATTGCAGTTTTTCAGATGAGTAAGTTGTGCAAATCCATGCCTAATTTACATGTACAATCACCTTGACTGCTTGTACAAATCAGGTAATTGTGCATGCAAATAGCTAATTAGCTGATCTCCTGATGCAGACTCAGGATCTGTAAGTGTACACTAACCATGTAGTTATCATGTATCTGCCAACAAGTTCTATGGAAAAAAAAACTTTGCCCTGACAACTGTTAGCAGATGCGAAGGGTTGCTTTTCTTTTTTGCACTGGGGTGGTGTGACTGGTGGTCACAACTGTTACTGTGGATCAGAACTGGGTGGGGATCTGAGAACATTTGAAATTACCAGAGAACTTTCCTTTCAAAGATGCAAGCTAGCATTCCTGTTGCATGTGATGCAGCATGCTGCCAGTGATGGATCCTGAGGCAGGCTGCTCTACCCTGTGGCATGGGGTTGCAGGGGCGCCCATCTTATAGCGGTTTTTCTATCTGAGCTCAGTGTCATGGTGGTTTTGCTATAGAACTTAAAACTCTTCCTTGAAGAGTTTGAACTTAACACTCTTCTGTGAAGAGTGCTTGTACGTGCTGCCCTTTCATCTTTCCTAATGCACAGAACATTTCAGATTTTAAAACCATTTGCCTCCTTCTGACTTGACAGAAAGAATTTATTGGGAAAGTATTTAAAAGGAGGGTGAGTTTTCTGATTTTATTTATTAGCCCAACTTAGAGATCTCTTTCTTAGCATTTCAATACTAAGCAAAAATAACTGAACAGGTTGAAATGCGCAGACTGTTAAAGTTCTGGAACCACATGAAATGACACTGAAATAGGAATCTTCCCTAGGAATTTCAGGAACATCTTTCTCCCATCTTTGTGGAGCGTGTATTTCTATTATTTTTATAGCTGTTATATGATGTGAGGGGAGGAGAATAATTCACTGTAGTAAAGGCTTATTTTTCAAAGTGTACCCATTTGTAGAAACTGGTTGGAAGTTGCCATTAAATTTTTAACATCAACATTTTTGGCTTCAAGCTGGCTGCTAACTAGAGTGTCCTCTGGATGCAGGTATGTCTTGAACTAACTTAATAACTCAATGTGGTTTTCTTATTTATTTATTTATTTTTTAATAAGGAACTTAAAATAGCGTATTAGATTTGAGGCTTATCTGACATCTAAACTTCCTTTCTTACAAGTTTAATCTGAAACCAAGATGAAATATGCCAATACAATGCAACTTCGAGGATTCAAATCCTAAGCACGAAGTCTGTATCCAGGGCTGTGCAATGATAGTTAAGTCTTACACTTTGGATATTCATACAGTTTTCACACATATTTGTGGTAAGTCAAGGTTTTTCTTACTTGGAGGATTCTATACTGTGTCGAGGAACAATAAACTAGATGCTGATCACGCGAAGACTAGGTTAGCAGAAGGAGCATCTCAGCAGTCTATGGCATCCTTAAAACAGCCCTGTGAAAGGAATTGAATGTGTCCACGAATCCTGGGATGTCTCTTGGAAAAAATAATAATAGAAAGCACAATAGATTGTTTTACCATCACCTATGTGGCCACCAGATAAAGACCCAAGGCAACTCCATTTATTACTTGTACGGAATATCCTGTTTCTGGTAGAGAAGCATCCATCTAGTGGTAGTTGGCTGTAGACTCAGGAGAAGAGAGCATCAGTCCCTGTGGAGGCATGAAGTCTCTTGTCTGAAGGTCAAAGCGTTTCTCAGCAAGTGCAGAGGAAGCTCCCCATCAGTGGAAGAAAATATGCTTAAAGGAAACGAGATGAGGAGTAAGCTAGGAGAACCTTCCGCACAACCTGTCTTTAGCGTATGCTGAGAGCATAAGACTCCTAGGTCTCCCTCCTTCCTTTGTTAATCTGTGATGGCACTGTGGGATGTGGGAATTCAGGAAGCTGAGCTGAAGGCTCAGATGTCAGGTTGCATGCTGATATCGGAGTGCACTTCTAGTCTGTGGCTCGTGCTTATCAGCTTTGGTGTCCGAGCCCTGGGAGCCACTAGGAACAGCTCATGCTGTGGTGGTGTGTGCACAGGCTTCCCCCACCCCTCCTGTGTGTGTCTGCTAATTTAAAGATGTGAAAATCATTGAATGACACGTTCTGATTAGCAAAGAGCTTGGGCCTGTCCGCCCCAAAAGGGAGTTGTGGAAGATGTGTGCTGACTTTATTATTGCCCATATCAGACTTTCTCCTCTGCTGCCCTGTTACTCTTTAAAGGGACAGAGGCAATTGTTTGTTATATGCCTTGTTTTTGACAGTGCCCATAGCTTTTATGATTTCAAAACTGACTATTTTTCAATGAATCCTAAGTCAATAAAAAGCAAATTAGCTGTAAAATTATTTTCCAATGTTAACCAACTAGATTTCCACACTGACTTTACTGTAGTTTCTGACCTGGAATTGAAAACTGGTTTGGAAACAAGAAGAAAGTACCAGGGAAAAGAAGCAGTTCTTCAGAGGCTGACCTGAATAAAACTGAAGGAGACATAAAACTGGATGAAACTGGAAGTTGGACAAATGAAGCTTCTATAGGGACAGCTTAAACCCTACTTCTGCCAGGTCAGAGAGCTGCTTGAAGAATTGTGGCTAAAGGCAGTATTGTGCATCTCATAGCCATGACTTTTTTTCGGATCTGTCACTGTCTGTGGACTATGCAGTGTCACATAGGAGATGAAGAAACAGTTATTGGTGGTTAAGGACATACCCATCAAGCTCTCAAACAGTACCCTTGTTCCTATGCATCTCTTTTGGAAGATTCTAAAAGGTTATCTTCCCCCCTCCAATTACTTATAGACATTGTATAAACAGAAAATGCAGTGTTGAAGTGCTAAATTGCTACATTGTTGAGATGGCTTCTTTTTGCCTTTCCCTTTGAGGGCTGTAGCACGGGCTGGTGAGACAGCTGGCTTTGTCTGAGCAGTGTCAGAGTAAGAGCTGATGGTTAAACTGCTCTAAAATGAGGTGGATAGTTACAGGAGATACCTATGTGAAGAGCTGGTATCCACAGTTAGATGAAGATACATGCCAGCAGTTACTCCTAGTCTGCAATAACAGGAGTTTTCTCAGGTTTCTTGCTTGAAATCTCCTATTGTGGTGTCTGCAAAGCTCTAGAAGTTACATGCCCAGAAAAACATTAGAGCACAATAAGAGACAATTGTTTTGTCCCGCATTTTTATTCACAGAGTTCATCCTGGGAACCTCGAAGCATTGCTAGCTGTAACAGAAACTCAGTACACAATGACTGACTTCTCCCTGTGAATCAGCCATTCATTATATTGACATTTAAGTTGGAGTTCTTTTGTATATCCCTGGTGCAGGAATGAAGCTTACAGATCAGCTGCCACTGGTGACGAGACCTAGATGCACTAATAGGGATAACTTGGTTTATCTGCTTTGACACTTTTCTGATATCTCTTGATCATTAAGGTCTGGATTAAGTGGGAAAAAAACATTGCTTGCACAGATGTTACGTAGCTTCTGCCTCAGATCTTTTATGAAAGGGTTTGGATGCTTAATGTCTTCCAATTCAAAAAGAAAAATCAAAGTCTTGTGTACAGCTTCTTTCTGTCACGTGCTGGGATGAGGTTTAGGTGAGCACATAATAGAAACCCAGATATTTGAAAGTCACATTTCCATCTGTATTTAATACAATTGCAGATAAAACAGATGGAAGAGTATTTTTTTTTTTTTTTTTTTTTTTTTTTTAATTGATTTGATGCTGGGGTTGGAAAATTGGATACTTATTTTGTGCATTTATTTAAGGGGTTAATTGACACTATATTCTCTGCTGCATTCTGTAACAAAGTACAGATTAGTAACCATTTCTGTCCTTAAGCCTGGTCAGTGTTTCACTGAAACTCAGCAAGTGCATATAGTGCTCCTGAGCTGCTGTAACATCAGGGAGGCTTCACTGTAGTAGCAGAAACACAATAGTAATAGTGAAAGACCTGTCCTAGGGGCTGAGCTGTCTAACAGATCCAGGGCAGACCTCTATTTATACCAGTTTGTTTCTCATCAGCACTGTGAGGATTACAAAAAGTGGACTTCACTCTGTGAAGCTGTTACCATAACCATTTACAGAGGGAGAGCTAAGGCTTAGATAACTTGTGGCTTTCCAAAGGTTACCTTTTGTGTCGGTAAGCAACACATAAACAGGAGTCTGTCCATCTGTTTTGCATGCTTCTACTTTTTTCTACAACTATATGGAGAGAAATTCATCACTATGGAGCATCTAGCATGGCTTCTGTACACAAGAACTACTTAAATTGCTGAGTGTGATCTGGTGCTGTAGAGGGGGGATAAATCAGTCCAGGATTTGGGGGGCTGCTTTACAAAAGACAAATGTCTACATGGAATGTGACTTCCTAGGAGAAAACAGAGCACTGGCATAGG